CTTGATTTTTGATCAATCTGAAATGGCACTGAGAGAAGGTTTTAAAATGTTAACTTTGACTAGGAACTCTTCACACCGTGTTTGACATTTGGTGTTGCATTTTTTAAAAATCTATTTTAAAAGCTATTTATAGAATAAGTTATCAACAGTAGTTAGTAATTTATCCACAGATCTACTACTGATTAATCCACATTCCCCCTTGCACTGTTTTGGGTTTTTTCTACTTATGGAAGTTTTTGATAATTTTACTGCATCTGTCCTTAAGCATGGTAAAATATCAGAATAGTGATCTGCAAGAAGTGCTTTGTGGCACAAATACATTCTCCATTTGAATATCAAATTCAGGTAACCTCAAGACCAAATAATTAAATAACCAAGTGAAATTTTGAGACTAATGCTGAAGTAGTGGAGTTTATTTTTGTATTCTGCAGGCTGCGTCCTGCCATACCTCTGGGGAATGGCTCACCATTCCATTTCAGACACGTGGTTTTTTACTGGCAGCAGAGAACCTGTATGTCTTACTCTTGCGAACCACAGTATACAGCAAGACTGTAGGCAATCTTACAGGTGTGACATGCCAGATGTCTTTGTCTTTCCCAAAACAGAGCTTCCACAGCATTCAAGCTTCGTTTTACAAATACATAGATATTTAGATAGGAAAATTAGTCATTTTATTGTACATAATACAAAATATGGTGCTACTAAACTGCAGGTGATTATTACCAATGACATTAACTAGGAGCTGATTGATGACAGGGTGCTTTTGTGGAAGGCTGGGAACTCCAGCTCCTGATGAGTTTTGAAACTGAGCAGGAGTGGAGAGGTGGGAGCGGCTGCTTCACCTGAACGCTTCACTCATTGTACTCCAGCTCAATTAGGTTGAAAAGCCGAATTTTCTCTGTATTAGGAGCTCTTCAAGAGCTTTGAAGCCCTTACCTTACACAGACGTAAGATTCAGATGAAGTTTCAGTATTTTCTTCCTGGGATGAAAACCTGTCTCTTTTATTTTTTAACTCTGACTCAAAAACCATGCCCCTCCAAAAAGCTTCTGCTATTGCTTGTCTGTGGCCTTTGACATGTGCCATAGATTGCCATTTCTCTGTTGCGTAATTAGAGGTGACTTGATGGCAAATATATCAGTAATTTTACCTGTAACAGAAAAGTCATCAAATTTTAAACATAAAAAATAATGTAGACAGGCATTAGATTCATTAAATTTTTACCATTTTTACATGGACCAGGTCTCTTTTTTTCATATTTTGGGTATTGATACGAAATTAGGATGTTATAGAAATATTTCTACTCGGTAGCTATGAAGTGTGCAAAGAATTAGAAGAGAACAGAGGTGGCATCACACAGTAAGCTTGATATAATCCTAATGTGAAAACAAGTATAACTAAAGTATACTAAAATAGGAGAAAACCCCTTGTCCTATTTTATAGAAAATCCTGATATATATAAGAAAGAGTTTTGTTTCATTTTAAAAAAAAGCATATTTCTTACAATATCGTGCAGGTAGCCACCTGGATGCTAACAGTGGAGTGGAGGTAATCCACCTACCCCAGAACTTGCTTACAGAATGCTGGCTTCTTCCCAGAAAAACAGTCTATAGCATTGAGTTTTGAGGTATGCAGAGACCTAATAAAGAAGGATCCAAATCATTATGAGAATACCATATCACAGAGTGTACTTTATTCCTCTGTAAAATTTGCCTGTCACTTTGTAAAATTTACCAACTCAGCAGGTCTCCCAGTCAACAGAGTAAGTGAAGTTCTTTTGTGCCATGCATTTGCCTTGATAATTATTCTGAAGCAAATTGGTACATTTGTACTTCTAATTTTATACAGCTACTTAACTAATTACTGCTGTCAGTAGCAATTTTTATCTGGTAGTAACATTTGGCTTAGCTGCATATTACAGCTCCAGTGACCACCTCGTAGGCAGCATATATTATGGTTCGACTTAAAAAAGAAAACTGCAGCCACCTGTTTGAATAGTTGATTGAAATCCCATAGGGTTTTTGTGGTTTGTTTTTGTTAAACATTTTTAGTACTGGCCAGACTAAAGCCATTGACCCGCTTGGTACCAGCTGTTTAAGAAGCGCGTTTGTAAAAGGCAGGAACATCAAGCAAGTGCTGCTTTTGCTCTTGTTTAGAGACCCTCATTAAATTATCTAGAGACAATAATCAGATAGCTGCTGTTCAAGTTAATGGCACCTCTGAGCCCCTGTCAAGAGAGCTTTATTTAATGCGCAACAGACCTGGAGTGGTGCAGGTGCCATTTCAGGCCCTCATTTAATTTAAGCTGCTTTAGTTGGCATGGCAACTAGTTGAGACATCTGGGAGACATTATGCTTGGGATTGAGATTTAGGAGGATTTGTGGCGTAGCAAAACAAAAATCTTATCATAATAAAGTGCAGAGTAATGCTTTTGGATTTTTTTAATATTTTACATTGAAAATGAAATGTAAAGATTTGTTGCAGCCGTAAGATAAAAACCAGATTTTGAAAGGCTGGTATAAATACTTAAGAGGACATTTGCAAAACTAAAAGAAAAATTAGAGGACTAGAATTTACATTGCTACAGCGTTGTTTTTTTTCTTTATGAATCCTTTATGAATGCAATTTTAATTTGGTGGTTTTTTGGCCAAAAAGTTGGCAGTATTTAATTTATAAAATTAGTTTTTGTGTGGTGAGCTGATGGCAGATGAACAATTTGGCTGATAGGGATTTGGCTGGATAGAGTTTGCAGAGCAACAGATGGAAGGAGCACATTGATTAGGTAGAGATGAAAGAAAATTTCAGTTTTCTCTAGGTTGTTATAAGTGCAACTTGACCTGTGCCAATTAATTGGTGATAATGGTAAGAACAAGTTTCTGCTGAGGCTGACTTGCTTCCTGTGTTACCAAGAGATAAGTATCTTAACTGAAGTCAGGGTTTGCTATTATATTTCAGACTTGACCTGTAGCAGAGCTGGTTATAAAGAGCATTGAACCAACTGATAGGCTCCTACGAGATGATGGTGAGATTTAAAAACAAAACAAAACCAAACCCTCAACGTTGACCTAGTTAGCTTTGCTTTCAGAGGAGAGGTCAGGATGGCACACTTGTAAAAATACCACCACGAGGTCAATGAGTTCATGAAGTTGTCGGAGCTCCTGCGTGGCAGATACGGAGGATGAGCAGAACCGAAGCGTGTAACTTCCTCATGCACAGCAAAACCCTGTTTCTTCCTGTAGAGCGGAGGGTAAACCTGTACACGCTCCAGCGTGCAGGTAGCACTCGGTCGGAGGAGGGTGACTGAGCTGTTGCTGATTCTTACAGCTGATCGGTTTGTGGTTTTGGAAGGCTGAGAGCTGACTACTGCTTTACCTTGAACTGTGAATGAACCTAGTACACCAAGGGAGATATTAGATTGGGGCCCAGGAGAAGCAGTTTTATTTCTAACGCTCTCCTTGATCTTTTGCATGACCTTGGCAGCATGCACCACCTCTCTGCCGCATTTTTGTCTGCTCTGAACGTTGCAGGGTTTGGTGTGACTCGTAATGCTTAATGCCTAACACAGGGGTCTTGGTGAGATGCTTGATTCCTTGCTGTAAAGCAGAAGTTCAGTTAACATACAGCGACTGTATTTTACCTTCTTCAGCTACAAATGTAATAATATCAGAGGTGTTTTTTCAAACATGACTGCTAAAGGTAGCTTTTAAAGTAGTAATGTTTCTTAATTATCAAGCTTATTTGTTGTAGAAGTTGAAAATTCTCAGTGTTGCAAGTTCAGTCCTTCTTGAAAGTTGAGGTGCTGTGGTTTTGCTTCAAACTCTGTTCTGAACCGCCGCTCCAAAATCAAAACTTAATCTGCCAGTGTTGCTGGTGAATGAAGCAGAGTCCAGCAGAGGCAGCTTCTCTGGAAGGCGGTAGGCTCTTCATTGCTGGCCTGTGCGCTCTCCGTCGCTAACTGCCCTGTACAGCGCACAGGCCGCGTATCTCTGTAGTGTACCCAGTATTTATCATAATGATTTTTGCATGTGTTTTATTACTGTAACATATTCAGGAAATTGACACTATGGTATTGATTCTTTGAGTTAAGATATGCTGCTTGTGTCTTCCATATATTTACATTTTTGAAACATTACATTTTTAGTATTTCTAGTGCTTCCTGAATAAACACAATACCCTTCTTAATGCACACCTTACCTTAGTATAAGCCACAGCATATGCAACTCTTTGTATCTTCAGGTGTTTGTGTAAGTTATCAGTGAGCATGACTATTGCTCTGTTCTGCATGTCTATGAGTACATGATATAGTGGTTTCTGTTTGTTTTTTTTAGTTTTTCCTCCAGACAGAAGTTTGAGTTGGTTTTTGTTGGTTTTTTGTTGTGGTTTTTTTCTTTTCTTTCTTCTTCTCCTTTTATAACTCAGAAGAGGTTTTCTGACTGGGATTTGTATGCATGTGTATATGATGCTTGAGAAGGTTAAATAATGGGTACTGGGTAGATTTAGGGAAGCATATGTATTTTTAAAAGTCTGCATTATTGATTGTGTAGCAACCTGCAAGGTACTTTTGATAACTGATTTTCACAGGCTTGCACTTGCCGGTTTGTCTGGTTAAGCCACGTTGATGTATGCCTACTATGAAGACGCTGCTCTAGTTGTTTGTAATTTGTGGCTTACCTATCTTAAGGAAAAATTTAAAGGTTTCAAAGTGCTATTAATGATTTTAAAATTTTACTTTGTTTTCTGAGTTGTAATTTGACTTTGGAGTAATTTTGTAACAACTACCGTAATGCAAATGCTACTTTATTGAGTAATCTGTTTTCTTTCACAATCCATTTTTTATTTTCGTTCTTGTAAGAGTCTGGAGACTTGACCTCTGAAGAAGCCTTATTCTTTTTTACTCAATAGCTCTGACCTGTAAGAGCTCAAATTTCTAGGAGTTAGAGTAAATGTTTCAAGAGATTATGTGCTGGACTTTCTGCTTTTGCCTTAACTAATAAATTGAAGATATGTTGTCACTGAATTGATGCAGAGTGACCTCCATAAGATTATCGTCTCTCCTCAGCCACTCAGCTCGGATCATGTCAAAGTTTTTCTTTACCAGATTTTACGAGGTAATTTTTCTTCTTTTAAATTTAATGAAAATTATGTAGTAGTAGTAGTATTTTTTTTTTTCTGTTTCTTAATGTTTATTCTTAAGACATCCTCATCTTGAATAAGTTTCCCATGGAAACTTGTTCTTTTTATTTCATATTATGAATGAATAGCAAGCATTAATTATTCTAGTTATAAGAATATGGCAGCCCTGCTGCCTTCCATCATAGTCATGGGTAAAGATGGCAAGACTTACACTTCCGCTGCAAAGGCTTTTTCAGTGGCCTGTGAGAGTCTTACGGTGGGTCATTGAGTTGGGTGGGTTTTAATGGTCCTCCAATGCTTTTTGAATCAAGGTGCAGAAAGGACACCTAGACTGAGCCAAATTGATAAATACATGTAACCATACCCACTTAAGGTATTCTGGAGAACAGTCTACTTAAAATTGTTATGGAACAGTCCACTAAAGTTTGATTTTTAGTTAAAACAATTTACCATAACAGTAATTTTAAACTTGATTTTTTATTTTTTTTTTTAATCCGTTTGGAAACTTTTATCCAAGAAATGAGATTATCATGCTTGGCTTTGGAGCACTTTTTGATTAGTGTTAGTCCGGTTGCATTTCCATTGGCTTTATTTGAGTATTTTCACTGAAATAAGTTGAAAGTAAACAGTCAATTTTATCTAATAGTAAATAAATAGTAGATTGTATTCATAAAGAGCAGAGCAAAGAAATCTAACTTATATCCAGAATTAGTACGGGCTTTTCCAGGTACCTGTTGTGCTAGAGAAAAGATTTGTACCCTTAAAGGACAAAAGGCATTTGTGCCTCTGTGATTACTGAGTTTGATGACTAGGGGAGCACTCAAAACTCTAATTTTGATCCAAATGGCAATGCAAAACTGTCAGTTAAAGCTTGTTCAAGAGTTACTTGAATTCTCATTCCATTTGCCCAGGCATTCCACCTGTGAGCTTACTGTTCCCCAGTTTAATGGTATTATTTATTTTTGTTCTATCTGACCCTACTTGAATTATGGCCATTTTTCCATTTTTCCATGCTTTGTCTACTACTCTAGTTCATGTGCATAAATAACTTCACATTGGTGTACTTTTTCCCACTGTACTTTTTAGTGAGATGCTTTCTGCATTAATTGCTTTTTCTTGAAAATATCAGAATTACTGCTTCAGGGACAGCAAAAGCACACAGGAAGCATAGGTTTGCTTTCTTTCCTAACCACCTAAATGTTAGAAACATCCCCAATTGCTGCAATCAGATGTCCTAAGTTCATTAGCTCTAGCTTTGAATTTTTGCACTAATAAAGTTAAGAAAAGGGCCTAGGTTTACTGTAATTTGGGCCTGTATTCTCTTAGCCTTGTTTTACATTATCTGCTGTTGGCTTATGAAGTTTTAGTTTGAAAAAAAGTGATTTAAAAAAAAAAAAGGCAAATTAGCTTGGGTTTAATCTGAGTTTATTTCTGAAGTGCAGCTGTTACGTAGGAAATTGTTAAGTCAAATTTTAGTGCTGCAGAAGTTAAATTTCTTGCTGGGAAATAGAGTGGTAAGAGGTATATGTCAATATTGGAATGTTGTGATTAGTACAGTATCCATGTCATAACCAGGGAGATGGATGTTTTTGTTTTTGTTTTTTTTAAAAAGACTACTTAAATTACTTACTCAGTCTAGTTTGTGTACTCCAACAAAAGTTTTATCCTTTCATTGAGTGACTGAGTGTACGCTAGAGACTGGAAGCTAGAATCGTATAATGAGCCAATGGCAAAGTCTTTGCTGATCAGGAGTTGCAAGACCTTCCAGGAAAATGCTTTCAGCCTTAAACTTCTTTTAAAAGGAAAAAAGGTATTTATTTTAATTTCGTTTAATGTTTCAGGTCTGAAATATCTACATTCTGCTGGCATTTTACATCGAGACATTAAACCAGGGAACCTTCTTGTGAACAGCAACTGTGTTCTTAAGGTGCTACTTAAATTTATTGAAAATGTACATGTTTATATGCTGTTCATTATAAATCAGTTGTTATTTTTTTAAACAAAAACAATTAATATGAACACTTTTCCTGAAAGTTGTTTTAAAAGAAAAAAATCCCACAAATTCTTTTAAACTTACAAATGAACGAACATCTTCCTTTCCCCTTTTCTCCCTACCTCTCCCCAAATCTATGAAAGCAAGATAGACATGAGTGTGTGGTCTGACTTGCGTGGGATCTCTTGTGCCCTCAGCAGCTGAGAAAGGCCGGCAGTTTCTCCAGATATTGCCATGTTAGTGTTCAGCGTGCTAGTCAAAGTAATGGTGATACAGAATGCCCAAGACTCTTCATTCTTAAGCATATGAAATTTTGGAGGGCTTAGATGTGTTGTATAGCTATGCCAAATATAAAAAAAATACGTTTTGTTTACATTTATTTGCTAAGTGTTCCAATTGTGAAAGCTTTAGTCTGTTTTCTTAACCCTTCTGGTTCGAGAAATCTTTAAAAATTCTCAAAGCCAGAGTGAGTAGAAGGCTAAATCTTTCTGTAAAGTTTTGAGGCATATCATCATATCATGAACAAATGAAATCTGATTTAGGGTGAAATATTCTGTACCCAGAGGTTGGCAATAACTATTTTTTTCGTGCCAAGTTTTTTTTTTAATCTTTTAGATTATAAATATTGCAACGCCAACTAAAAGTGTACTGTGATTTCAAATAAAATTGTAGAAAGTTTAAATGGATGTGGAATAAAGTAGCATAATTTCTTCCTATTCCCCTTTCCCTTTGCTTATGCAATTACAGCAGATTATCTGATTTATTTAAATGCTGGTTTGGAATTTCCTGCTTCGTTACCAGAAGGTTACCTATTTGAAATGCATTAAGTGTTTTGGTTATTTTAATTTTTTTATTTACCTTCTCAATTTAGATTTGTGATTTTGGATTGGCCAGGGTGGAAGAATTAGATGAATCTCGTCACATGACTCAGGAAGTTGTCACTCAGTATTATCGAGCTCCAGAAATCCTGATGGGCAGCCGTCACTACAGCAATGCTATTGACATCTGGTCTGTAGGCTGTATCTTTGCAGAATTACTTGGGCGAAGAATATTGTTTCAGGCACAGAGTCCCATACAGCAGGTATAATTAAACTTCCCTTTAAAAATTTTTCTGCTGCATAATTTTGTGGAATCAGTTATACTGATGCATTTTGAACCTCAAACTTGCATATCTTTTGCTTGGTTTACACACAGGCAAAAAGACAAGCTACTTTGAAACACTGAAACGGTAGCTTCCAGACAGTATTAAAGGTAGTGGTTATTAACATTAACTTTTGAAATGTTTTGGTTTTTTGGTTTTTTTGTAATCCTCTGTAATCTGCTGCAGTACCAAAGCCTGCTGTAGCATTTTGTTGAGAGTGAGTAAAGGTGATATAACCAGGATCAAGCTCTTTGTAACAACTAATATGAGAAAGTACTAAGTTTTCTGTCAAGATGTAACTGGACATCCAGTATTGGCACCTGAACTATTTAAACTGCCAATTGTTAGTATTGTTCAGACTGCTTCATTTTAGTAACGATTAAGTGTGTAAGAAGGTATTGAATAATTTTTTATGTTGTATAGCTGTGGCTACGTATAAAAACGTGAGATGCACCAGAATGCTTCATCACCATTCCAACAGTAAGCAAGCTAATAGAATATACATATATCTCTAATAATCTTGAAGTGCTATTTTAACAGTAGGTAGAAAATAAGGTCTGCAGCAAGATACTAGAGATGGATGCATTGATACTTCTATCTAAGAGAAGGAACAAGCTGTGCTGACATAAAAATGTTTATCTTCAGTGTTGCTAGTATCATCTATAGATTAGAAACTACATAGCATTAAAATTCTGAGATTATGTATATTGATTGAAAAGAAGTAAAAACACATTCCAAACTTTTGTTAAAGGTAACATTCCAAACTCTACACTTTTCTTGTTTGTTTATGCACATAGCATTTTCACCGGTTGAGAGACATTCACATTAGCATGCTGTTTTCAACATTTGTATATTTAAAATGTTTTTGTGTTGTGTATATATTTTTTCAATGCTGTGTCCTGTCTAGTGGTACCTATCACATCACCGCAGTAGTGTTTGCAAGGCAGGACTTGTTAGTCATTTCTAGACAGCACTGATACCTTGTATGATCACAAAAAGTAGACCTCCTTCCAAACTACACCCGACTCTTACCCTTGTGAAGAGACTGCAGAGGAGAAAAGCACTAATGTCATCAGAACTGCTAGTTAAATTGACAGCTGTTTTGTTGCAGTCTCAAAAATATTTAAGATCTCCTGTTTTTCTAATCTTTGATCTTTTGCCACACTGAAGCTAAATGTATGTGTGATTTTAATAGCCTTGACTATCCTTCTGGAAATTTAAAGTGCAAGGACATTCATCAGGTAACTCTAGAATAGCATTATGGGGTGGGGTTTTTTGGGTGATGTTCACTTTATTTGATTGAAAAGTTGTATAAAGTTAGGTAAGAGTTCCTAGATCTTTTATAAATCCTGTGCACTAGAATGGTTTAAGAAGTAATCACCATATATATTTCAATTATGTTCTGAGAAATTCAGTACTATTTGAAGGTGGATAGAGTCTATAGAAGGGCCTTGGGCTAGTCAATGTTAGTCTTTTCTCAAGCCTGTGCCGTGCCCCTTAGCGTAGAGTGTACGCTCTAAATGGTTATCCCATACAGCCAGCGGGGTTCACCAGGACAGCAGAAACTCTCTGATGTCAGGATAGCCGTCATCAGGCGAAAGTTTTTCTGGTAGAAAAACCAGGGAAGCGATCATTTTAAAACTGACTGTACTGGAATTTTTAACTCAAGTCTGTGACAAAGAAAGTGAATACAGCTTTACATTATAAACCAGACTGGAAGTGGTGATTTGGGTATTTTAAACTTTGGATAGTGTCATGTTGAGTGTGGTGAATATACCTAAGTTGCTTACTCAAGTTACAGTAGCTAACTTTTGATAAGGATTTTGTGGGATTTCTTACAAAAATAAGACATGAGATAATCTATACTGAGACTTAGATAATCAGAAACACTTTCAAATACAGTATTTTCTAACCTTCTACTTTTACTTTTTACTGATACTATTTAGAATAGTTGGCATTTTTGTATTATACAGTCTTTCTGGTTTTGTTGAAAAATGCGTATTTAAAGGTGCAAATACAAGTTATTTTTAGCTATATGTACAGAAACATTTAACACATCTAATTTTATCTTTTAGTGCACCTGTGGTGCAGGAAGGGTGATCTCTGGCTTTCTGGCTATCTGTGGGAGCAAATGCCTTTCTCTCCTTGCTTTAACGACTAGTCTGCACGCTCTTTTGTGAAAGGCGGGTTATAGAGTGCTAAGTTTTAACCACATTCCTAGGTTAGCCAGTTCCTCTAGTCTGATTTTGCTGATTATTATTTAATCCCCCTTAAAGATAACCGGTCACATGCCTGAGACAGTAAGCAGAATCCATTTGGGAGGGTCAAAGTGCCAGGTAGAAAGGAGAATCGGGCAGTTGCTGCCAGCCTGGCGTAGCCGTTTCCCACCGGCTGTAGCACGTACATGAAGTTGCATTTCTGGCACATTGCGCAGCCAGCCTTTGACACGTCCGCACGCATGTACGCAGAGAGGAGAGGTTTGCTGTTTCACACATCGGTATACCAAGGGTATGCTTGTTGCTGGATTTCTGATGTCAGCAATGTTTACTTGAGCAGTTAGCGCATACCAGTAGAGCGGGGCGGTCTGTGCTGAGGACCTGACACCCCTGTTTTGCACAGTTCACAGTGGAGATGTGCTGTGGAGTGGGCCTGGTGTGGTTGCACAGGCTTGATGCCCACTGGCAGGTGAAGTACCTGCAGATGTTCTGATGACGTGCATCCCCCAGTTAGTCTTGTGGAAAAGGAGCCCAGTGCCGGTGCTCCAGGACGCTCGCTGCAAACCCAGGCGCAGGCAGTGGCAGCAGCTAAGTTAGCTCTGAAAGGGCACTTCTCCTTCTGACCTGCAATAACAACGTAATAACGTAGATTCATTGTCTGTACCCAAAAGACTTGAAATTCACGCAGCTGAGGTCAGCTGAATTCAAAATTAATGTTTTGTAATATTTTTTTACACTAAAATTTCAAAATATATTTTGTAATACTTCAGAAAAAATATGTGTAATGACTGATGACATGTATCTAGATAAGTGAAATCAGACGTCTTAACAAACCTTAAAAAGCAAACCTATGGGCTAAGACAAGAGAATTTATATCTTGAGAGATGTTAAACATGAACTTTCAGGACGTCATTATGAAAATTGTTTTCAGTGTTTTTTCTTGTAACCGTTAGAATAAAGTGTCTGTATTTATATCGATAGCTATATTTATAGATATAAACCTATATTAACATATCATTGCTGTGTGCTTCAGGAGTAGTTGGCTGAAAAATATGGGTGTTCCTGCAGTCTACATTCCCTGATATGCTGGTATAATTTATTATTTTGTAAATACATTAATCTTTTATTATATCAGCTCCGTGTGTCTGTTTCTCAATTATATTTTTTCCACATCTAAAAGCCTCAAGGTTTAGGATTATTTTTTTTTTTTTTCCCTGTCAAGTTTTCCATCTCCTTACAAACATAGGTACTTTGCTGTCACTCCCCTATGAAGTTATGGTAGCCCTGGCCGCACGGTGCCAAGGCAAAGGGGAGGACACGTGTTCCGTACCAAGTTCTGGGTTGCACGTACCTCCAGGCACTGGACAGACTAGTGCTTCTGCTGGAGAGTGGGGAGAAGGTGGGGAGAACACAGACCCACTACAGAGTTACACAGTTTGGTGTGTAAACAGCAATCACATTTCACAGTGTTAGACCAACGGTCAGTGGGTGATTCTCATGCATACAAGGCCTGGATGATGATGATAATGCGTTTGTTCTCAGAGGAGAGCTCTGCAGTTGCTCGTTAGCACGGGTGGATGGTGGTCATAAGGGAACACTTGGAACCAGGGTGCTGATCTCACCACTAACAAGA